CAGGAACCCTGATTTTGGCCGCCTGTCTCTGACAGTATTAGTACCCTAATTCTGTATGAGGGCATAGATCAGATCTTTTCCTTAAGACCACTAGGGGGCAGGACAAGGACTGTAATGATGATCCCTGCTTCTTAAAAATTAGTTTTATGAGCTTGCAGAGTATTAGGCTGTGCATCAGGGAAAGGGATCTTTTCACTCTCTGTGGGCACATCTACATGTGCATTAATGTGCAATAGTGAGCGTGTCTACGCGTGCATTCATGTGTAGGTACTGTGCATTCAGTTAGTACCTGTAATAACAGGTACTAACTGAATGTACAGTGATCAGTGCTACTTCGCAGTAGCGCTAGTGCATGCCTTTTTAGTGATGCTAATGAGCAATAGACTAATACTACTGTGCATTAGTGCAATAGCACAGCTTTTCCCATGGCATGCTAATGCACAGTAGAATTAGTCTACTGCACATTTAGGGTCAGGTACAGATGTGCTCACTATCTCCCAGCAGTGGGGTTGTTTATCCAGTATTTGATGATAAACACATTTGCAAAGTAGCAAATGTTTAATACAGAGAGAGGATAAAGGAGGAGACTGCTACAGACCACCCTAACAGAGCACTATCATACTGCTCTGTTGTACCAACAAACTGCAAAGTCAGAAAGAAACTGGAGCAAAAGCCCCAGTGCAAGATGGTTCAGGAGGCATGAGGAGAGCAGACAAGTCTGTGAGCTTTAGTTCTTCAGGCCTGGGGCCTATGTTTGGCTCTGGTATGCAGGGCATTGCTGGATGGCATTTCTGGAGTTTTCTGACTTGTCACAAGGGAGCCTCTCTGCTATAGGGGCAACAGCAGGGTTAGGGGCCATGCATACCATGCCTGTCTTTTCCTTAACTCAACCACCAGACCACTTCAATGGCCTTTTGCTTTGTGGTTCTTCTCACTCGAGTCTGGGGACTTTCCCACAAGAAATAATTCCTCGCAGAGTCCTGCCCCTGTAAGGGCTATGCAGCTTGTTCAGTATTTCTCCCCTAAGCAGGGCTGATGCTTACCCAGTATGAAATTCCAGTGTCAGGGCACTTCCATTTTACCAGCTGCTATTGTTGCTTTACAGCACATTGAAAAATGGTCTCAGTGCCCTCTCTTCTTTTGCCTGAAAATGTAGTACTTTGGCTTCACTTTACCTGTTTTTTCCCTTTCACCCCCTCTGCCTCCAAGCCCTCTGGACTGGGGGAGTTAGGATGGAAATTCCCTCTGCTCCCCACTCACCTGTCCAGCCTCAGCACAAAGCTGTGTGCAGCACCATCAAAATACTGTAAGAGTCAATGCCCTAGAAGAGTCAGTGCCTGGACTGTGTGCGCATCAGGAAAGGAGAAGAACAATGAGCGAGGAGGCACTGTGAACTCCTTCAGGCACTAAAGGTCCACAGGCCATATATTCAAGGCCAAGCATAAGTTTCACTTGGGCCTTGAAAAAACAGAGAATTCCCTTCTGGGGGAAGATTCAATATGAATGGCTCCAGGAGGTGTCCCACCGCAGTGCCTAAGGAGAAAGCACCTCCATGCTGAGCTGATGAGATGCTGTCCTTACCTGAAGGAGCTTAACCCTTCTGTGGACATAACTAATTCCTGGACAACCCCTCTGGGAGGGCAATAAACCACCTCCTTAGTAAAATGTTAATGTTGCTACTGGGGTTCCTCAAGACATTCCTGATCATAAGGTATGTGAGCAATGGAAAACCCTCCTGCTCTCATACCTGAAGGCTTGCTCTTTTGTCTGCATTCAGCTGCACATCTCTGCCAGACTTGCCCAGTTCTGGGCAGTGGATAGAGTCTAAGAAGACACAACATTTGTGCTGCAGCTCATGATTTGCACAAAGAGTTCTCTTACCTGGCTGCCTGGGAGTAATGGGTGCTGGTATAAGGAGAACCTGTCCTTCCCAGACTCCTCTGAGGTAGGGCTGATGGGCTTGGGGTCAGATAAGGATCTCTGCATGGTTTTGATGGGACGAGGCAGGGTCTGCTGGTGTTGGGTAGAGTCAGCCGTGAAATGCTTCTGTGGTGTCACATGGGCCTTATTAAGTCTTTCACTGGTAGTGAATGTAGACTCTAGCAGCCGGTGTGGGGAGAGGGGGGAGACGGGGGAGTAGAGTACCTGGGGGGATTTGGGAGGCTGGCGGGTCATTAGCTGGGAAAGTGAATCTGTAGGCAAATGGGACTGATATCCAATTTCCAGAGGATCAGGCTTCTTCTTCTCAAACTTGCCTAGGGCCTGTTGCCTGATAGCATGGGGGTCCAGGGGACTTGTGCTCACCATCTGAACATTAGAGGAGTAGGGTGTGATGGTTGTAGGCACAGTAAGCTGGGGGACCACAATGCCTGGCTGAGGCTGCGCTTCTGGCTCAGTCTGGCAGGCCAGGCTCTCCCCATGCTGAGTCTTCTCTGGAGCAGAGATATACTTCACTATCTCCACTTTGGGGTCATGGGTGGTAATGTGAATGGAGGGGGACACTCTGAGCAGCTGGTCAGGCTCAGTCTGCACAGAGCAGTCACTGATGGTCTGGATGCCTATGCTGGCTGTGCCTTTTGAGGAGTCCTGCTTACTCTCGGCGCTGGAGTCTGAGTGCCGTGAGAAGCGGGATCGGCGCCGGCGCACTGGTTGCTCCCATTCTGCATTGTCCTCCTCATCTGTTTGCACGCTACAATCAGTGCTGCGCCGGGTGCGGCGGCGCCGGGACAGGTAGTAACGTTCCTCACTATCTTCCTCATCTGTCTGCACACTGCTGTCTGTGATCTTTTTCACCACGTATGACTCATGTGGGGCTTCTTTGTCATAGGCGTCCCGGAGGCGTGGCATGGAGTTCCTCTTTTTTATTCCCCGGTTGGATTCCCACTGCTCCTCTGTCTGCAGAGACATTTCTGACGCAGAGTTAGTGAGTGGCCTCTGCAACCCAGGATAGCGAGGCTGTGCTGGCGCTTCCTGCCCTGCAGCTGGGGTAGCCATGAAGGCTTGGTTCAAGGGTGGCCAGTACTGTCCATTTTGGGCCAATGTCCTTTGCATTTCCATTGCTATCTCAGTGACAGCCTGAGGAGGGATTCTCCCTGCTGGGTCACACACAGGAGGGAAAGTACTTTTTTGCCTCTTCTGCTCCTCCAGTTGTTGTTGCAGCTGCTGCTGGAGCTGTTGAATTTGCTCCAGCTGTAAGCGCTGCTGGGCCAGCTGCTCCCTCTGCAAAGCAAATTGGGCCTGGCGTTCTTCCTGCTGCTGCTGCAGAACCTGGTGCTTTATAGACTGCAGCTCCTGGATTTCTCTGTGTACCAGCATCTGCTCTTTCTCCCTGTGCCGCTGCAGCTCCACACGCTCTCTCTCCAGCTCCTCATGCAGCCTCAGCTGCCTCAGCTTCTCCAGCTCTACCCTCTCCCTCTCTATCTGGAGAATATGCTCTTGCTGCTTGCGCTGGCGCTCCTCCTCTTTTTCCTTTTCTTCTCTCTCCAGGCTGCCTTTGCTGGGGACACTGGTCTGAGGCAGCTCTGCCTGTGGCTTTTGGGCTGGGAGCACTAGCTGCTGAGGCTGACTGATCTCTTTTGCAGTACTCTGGGCCCCCAAAGCTGTAGCAGGCCCCTCATCTCGAGTGGTAGCCCCAGCCTGCTCAGGTCTTTGAACACCCACTGCAGTGACAGCTGGTGCTTTGGCAGTGGGCACTGTGCTGATGCCACTTGCAGCAGTGCTGGCTGCAACAGTGGTGACAGGTTTTCCCAGGTACATGGGCGTTTCCATCACTGATGTTGTGGGAACAGATGGGAATCTGCAAGGAGCTGAATAGCGGTATAGACCTGGGGCTGCAAGGGGGATCCTTGGAGTAACCAAAGGCACTCTGGTCAGGCTGGCCAGAGGGACAGCTGTGATGTTACCTGGGGTGTAAGGTCTATATAACCCTCGGAGCATGGGCCGAAGCACAGAAGCTGGCTGGGTGGTGATGGGAAGGGTTGATGCTATAGGAGTGTTTATAGTGGAATAAATCATGCCATCTGCAGCTCGCACAGTGGCTGTGGAAGGGAATATCTGTCTGACAGCTCCCAGACGGACACCAGGGAGATTGTACTGTGCTAGATTCCCGAAGCCCTGACGTGAGTCCAGGAAATTGGTGTTGTACATCATGCTGGGTTTGATGGGAGTGAGTCCCTGCGGAGCAGAGATGTTGCTAGCTCCTGTTGGCCCAGCACTGAGAGAACTGGGCCCATACTGCAAGAGATCAGGACTGTTTGTATGTCTTCCTCCATAGTGGTCCATTGAGTTGAGTGCAGCGCACATTCGGCTGATTTCGCGAGCTGTAGTGGCACTGTACTGGGCCAGACTAGACTCCTGGAAATTTGCCAGGTCTCTGGGTGAGTACCGGTAGTCAGAGTAGATATTTGAGGCTGAACTGTACCTTCTCATTGGGAGTGGATGACTTAGCAAGTCTGTGGGCTGCCGGAGGTCAGAGAAAGAGCCATACTGCAGGCCGTGGCCCAAGTAACCCCCCTCTGTGAAGCTGATGCTGTAGGAGTCTTTCATTGTAGTCAAATCCACTGCAGATTCTCCTGCAGGGGAGTGGAAAAGCTGCTCCCCCTTAGCAGGGTAATAATTCATGCTGATTTCTGAGATGTTTGTATCTGACATAGATGAATACAGCCTTCCAAACATGCCTTGTGGGTAGAATCTGTGTTCCTCATACAGACTTGGAGCTGGGGCTGACTGCTCTCTGAATGGGTAGGTCTCAGGCAATTCTTGTTCTTTGTTTCCATAGTATGGGGCACTAGATTTGCCAGTTGGAGCTGTGTCCCCAGCTTTCTTCTCTGGTATCTTTGGGGAAGGATTGAAAGCTCCAGTGCAACTGCTGCCAAAAGGGAATTTATACACTACATCACAGCATGCCACCTGGCTTTCGGGCTTTATCCCTGTGAGATCCAGCACATTAGCTGGTGGTTCGTCTTTGAGCACTTTTGTTACTGGGCCTGCTGCTATATCATCCATCTGTACCATCATGACTTGTGATTTTTTGCCTCCCAGGTTGACTGGGGGACCCTGGGTTTTCAGCTCCACAGGTACCCCTCTATATATGTCTGGGCTTTGATCCTGAGAGAATTGCCTGGGAATTGTACTGATGTTAACACCACCTGGTGTGCTACTGGTCTGAGTTATAAGCATATCTTTCTTCACAAAAGTTGTCATTTGATTGGGCAAATTATATCTTGCAAATTTTGTTTGTTGCAGAGTAACAGCTTCAGGTTTTCCTTCCAGAGCAGAAGTGCCAGTTTCACTCCCACTCCCTCTGAAGGAGCCAGTTTGAACTGCTTGCTCTACCTGCTTGACTTGGGTAAGGCAGACAGGACTTCCTGCACCTTGCCCATAGTCCACCCTGTTCTGGAAAGGGTCTCCATACACTGCGGGTTGTTTTGGCTGAGACACAAGCATGGAGGATGCCACAGTTATGCTGACTGTAGTGGTTGTGCCCATAATAGCATGGGGCTGTTCTTGGGCATTGAGATTTATGATTAAGGGCTGGATAGTTGTTGATTGCCGATTTGGAGTCTGTTCTAAAGCAAGGCAGTATTTTCTAGTTTCAGTAGCTAGAGAAGTGAGATCCATGCCATGGTCTGTTATGATGATTGGGGCTGATTTCAGAGCTGTTCGTAAGTCTACAGCACTACTGCTTGGTGGCTTGGGTCCAGGCTCTACCCTGGATGTTCCCGGAATTGAAGATATTCTGCACAAGGAGATATTCTCTGCAGGCAGTGTTCCCCAGCTGTACACACCAGCAGGGCTCTCTGCAGAAGTGGTAGGCACTTTCTGAACTGCACCGCTGGGCACAGAGGCTCTGTCTATCATTGACTGTGTCTTTGTGTAAGTGGATTGCAGCTGCTCCTGCTGAAGTTGTGCTGCATTGATTATTGTTTGACTGTAGCTATGCAATGTCTGCTGGCGACTCAGCCTGGTTGGAGATGAGGCAGGGGATGTGGAGGAGTTTACATTTATTGGCTTTGTTTGGCTAGACGCATCTGATGCTAATGTAATGACCATAAATGGAGCTTCTTGTGACGACTGCTGCCTAGTAATGCGAGGAGAACCAGCACGATGGGGAGTCTGTGTTCCTTGGGCTATCATTGGAGAGGAGGTTGATGTACTGGTGGTAGTGGGGATATCATACATGAGAACTGTGCTTTGTGTTTGAGTGGAAAACTCTGCAGTTGATTTTGGTCCCATCCCAGGGCTAGCTGGCATCCCTCTTCTTGGAACCGAATGAGTGGGACTTTGAGTAGGAGAAGTTGGGGAAAGTGGTGGGCTGGAGCCTTTGAAGAAAGAGTACATTTTGGATGACATAGTCTTGCTATCACTCATATTCTGGAGTTTCTCTCTTGCTGATGGCCCGCTGACCTCAGTAGTACTCTTGCTTCTGGAGGTATCCTCTGTCTGAGAGCTGTAACTTGCAGTACTCTTAATTTGACTGTAACTTCTGGTAGATACAGATGTTGTGTCTGAGCTACTCAAAGATGGAGAGCTGTAGATTCGTGGTGCACTCACTGGGCTGGAAATGACAGTGGTGACAGTGCTGGGGCCTTTAGCATATGGGTAGGGAGCTGTCATAACTCTGGACACTGAGGTAGAAGCTGCCGATAAACTCTGAAGCTTTGCGTGGTTATGCCCCTCTTTTGCAAAATGCTGAGTGACTCGAACATCAGGAATTACCCTGCCTGCACTTTCTTCAGAGGATGAAAAAGATACAGGAGCAGATAGCTGGGTGGGGCTTGTGCCTGGTGTGAGTGGAGCATTGTTTTGCTTCATCAAATCGGCATAAGCACTCTCAGCATTGAGATAGTGCTTTTCCTGATATACTTCTTTTCTCCCTTTCTTCTTTTCCTCCTGTTCTAGAGCCAGATCAAAGGAGGAGGACTGGTGCATCCTGGAAATGCTCTGCGATGTCTGCAGGATTTCCTCGTACACTGCTCCAGGTTTGGAGAGTTCACTCTGGTAATCAGACTGAGAAGACTCCAAGTTTCTGGAATCATAGCTATACTCATCTATGTAATGGTATTCAAAATTATTTTGATCTTCTGTGCTGCAGTATCCTACCTGCTGGTAGGTGTCACTATAGGAAACACCTTGTTGGGACTGCTGGACTTGCTGCTTTTGGAACATTTCTGCCTTCTTCATAATCTCTTCATATGCTTCTTCTGCACTTTTCAGAGGCTTGCTTGAGGGATAACTAGAACTACTGTCTGTTTTTTCTGTTGGGGAGTAAAGGGACATGAAAGTAGGCAAGTTGTACTCACTGCCTGACTTGTACAGCTTGGAGGCTATGACATCAAATCCCTCAGCATCAGAGTCTACAGAGGGCGAGTACTCTGAGCAGGAGGATCTGTGCAGCTCCTCCATCTCCGCTGCCTGCCGAAGCTCCTCTGTGGGAGAAGCATCCTCGATGGGAGACAGGTTACTAGGTGGTGTTTTGGATCTTTCTCTTCTCCTCTGTGCCCTCAGCTCCTCCTTGTCCCGCTTAGTTTTGCGTGCGGTGCTTCGAATACGTTGCTGCTCCACTTCCCGCATCTTCTCCTGCTCCCGCAACAGCTCCTCTTCCTCCCGCAGCTCCTCTTCTTCCGAGGAATCCTCTATGGTTGGCAGCAGAGGCCCATGGGAGCGATGCCGTGCTTTTCGCTGCTGCTTCACTTCTTCCAGCCTCTGCCTTCGGCTGGGGCTGCTGTCACTGTCCTCTTCCAGAGAAGAGATAGAAGTTGGGGAGGTACCTGATGTGTAGCTAGGTGTTGTTGCCGGCAAGGTGGAAGAATATTCTCCCCTTGACCGTTCCTCTGGGGAGCCTGTCAGGCTCTCCATTTCCAGTTCTGGCTCCCTGTCCATGCTGGTGTCTGTATCCTGGCTAATTTCCATGTCTCGGTTGTAGCTCTTGGTGCTATTTAACTCAATGGTTTTGAAGCGCCGCAATCCCCCCTGGGACGCAGTCATGTCATCTCCCTCTGCAGCTTCTAGTTCTTTCCTCTCCTCCTCATACAAACTGCCGGAGCTGTGAGGCAGGCGTCTCTTGGCTGAGGAAAGATCTTTGCTTTTCTCTGTGTCAGGTTTGTGCCCATTTTTTGTGACACTGTATTTTATATGGTCATACTCCTTTTCCTCATCTTCAAGGTTGTCCTCTTCGGCACTCATCTCCAGGATCTGTCTCCTCATGAACTCCTCGTCGGTCATCTCTGTGTCTCTGCCTTTTGGCCTGGTTGGTAGCGGGGAGAATCCTCCTTCGCTGCTGTCCTCCACGTAGTCATGACGCAGCTGGCTGCCAAAGTCATCTGATGACTCCATACTCTCTCTTTGATCTCTCTGGTTTTCCCACTCTAGGGAGTCTTCATCTTCTTCCATGATATCTTCTAGCTCCTCATCAGAGTCGAAGGCTTCTGGGGTGATAGAAAGGGACCGAGGTCTCTGCCTCTGTCTTTGCTCTTCCCGTATCTCATGATACATTTTCCCTTGGTCGCTCTGGTCTTGGGACATACCCTTTGATTCCAGCAGGGGGCGTACGCTGCTCTCTAATTTTGTAAGTTCAGAGGGACTGGGAGGACTCTGGTCTGCTAGGCCTGTTCCATTCAACCTCTCCTCTTCCTGCTGTACCAGGCCTGTTATCTCACTCTGGGAGCTGGAAATGCCATCAGATGAGTAGCCAGTGTCACTCAGGCTTTGAGGGCTGCGGGACAGGTCTGAGGGATAAGGCTTGCTTGCTTCCTGTAAATAAGAAAGAACGAAAAGTTACCCATTTGGCAATGAACATTTTGATTTTTCACAAAAACCCAGGTAATATGGGTGACATCTGGAGTGAAATATCATGAATAATGTCAGATATTTCATTAAATTACTTCATTTTGCACACTTTTATAAATTAGAAAATTATACTTGAAAATAAGTTTTCTTCTAATAATTTCCCCCAGTTCTGACTCGGAGCGGATTCACAGGTGTACCAGTAAGTCAATCTCATGACAGTTGGTTGTTTTTGTCTTTATAATGCATCCTTTCAAAATAAATCTTATGAACACCCCTAACCATAGATCCTGCAGTGTGATCCTTACAATTCAGTTGAGCCTCACTGACATCTGCTTGCTGAAATAAAAGTGTGTGATGAGAGACTGAAACCCTTGGAAACTCCAAGGAGCTGCCCCTGCAAGTTTAGACGTGTGTACTCTGTTTGCAGAACTTAAAAACTTCAGTATTTTGGTTGGCTCTGAGTTTTAAAAGGAGCCATCTGGCTTTTGGCTTGCCCAGGGCCACTCAGCTTCAAAAGCTTCTGTGGTCTCCTCGAGGTTGGAATAGTGGCTATAAGGTGGCTGTTTTGTTAACAGAGAGGCTGTCTACGTGTTGTCCTACAGCGACGTAGCAACACGTTACATTGCTGTACGATGCACTATGTCAACATAGCAATCACATGGGTCTACACATGATTACCTGCTACATCACTGTATTGGCATGCTCCCTGCTCATAGCGTGCTGCTATGGTGATGTAGCAGGGAAATCTAAGTGTGCACCACCCCTAAGTCACAGTACCCACCCATACTGCTTTGTGGTTCAGTACTTCCGAAAGGAAGTACTAAAGCACAGCACCACAGTAATGTTGCCATATGGCAATGTGTAGATGTGCCCAGAGGAAGTTTGGGTCCTTGAAGGCCAACCTGTATCATCTACATTCGGCATGTCCATATATCACCATGCTTTAATACTTCTTTTAGGAAGTACTAAAACACAGCACAGTACAGGCGAGTACTCTGCCATATAGGCAGTGCATGCTTAGATTTCCTCACTATGTCGCTATAAAGGTGCACTATAAGCAGGGAGTGTGCCACTATGGCGATGTAGCAGGTGATCATGTGTAGACCCACATGATCGCTTTGCTGCCATAGCGCGCCACAGAGCAAAATGTAGACGTGCCCATTGCGTGCTACTCATAGGTTACCAGTTGTGCTGCTTTACTGAGAACATGCTTTGTTGTTTAAGTGAAGTTCAATAAAAAGGTGCTGTACGGGGATGTATTTCAAAAGCACTCTCCACTGTTCATGGGGTGCAAGCAAGGGACTTGAGGTGCCACCAACACCAATGCTGAGCAATGATATAAAACACCTAACACAGTAGCAGCATTAACCCCTGGGCTGCAGGCTCCCTCTCCCCTGCACCTGCCTTCTCCAGTGCCTTGTACCCTTTGTCTGCTGGTGTCTGGGCATTTCTGCCTGCGCCAAGCTGCTGGGTGCTGTAGCTGCTGAAGTCTTGAGCCCGCTTACCCCTGTTCTGGCACCCCTTAGCACCAGGGCTTGTGACCTCCTTGCCCACCACTAGTTATACTACTGATTTAGTAAGGTAAAACTTTCAAAAGTTAGCAGTGCAAGTACACGTGCATGCCTATACTTGTAAACCCAGATACCCAATGTGCATGTATAAGCATATACAGGCACAAGTACAGGCCAGTTGGGTGCCTTGCAGTCAGTGGGCATGTGCCAATCTATGTACGCATCTGCTTCTGGCACACTCAAAGTCTGAATGTGCTTGACTTCAAAACTCAAGCCCAGTATGATTATTTGATGCCCTCTTGTCTCTAGCAGTGGTTTATAATCAATTTAGACCATTAATAAAATATTTATTAAACAAAAACCAGTTACTGGAAAAGCAAATGTTCTCTGGTGTGCAAGGGTTGTTAACACACACAAGTTTTAAAGATTTAAAATATTACAAAGCGCTCTGTTATTAAAAGTGAAACTATTCTTCAGAAGTGCATATATATTTCATCAGCTGAGTTCCGACACCGTCATTTGTGCATATAAATTAACCTGTGCATATAATCTAGCTACGGTACCATTTTTTCCTGTCCCTGTCACCTGTTTGGAGATCATTACTATTCCATGACAGGAAGGTTAAGGGTCAAAACTGAGACTGCATTGTTTAAGAGGGAAGAAGGGGGGTGGGGGGCATGGGACACCATGGATTTCATATGGAGGAGTTCAAGTTTTTGTTTGGAGGTGTCTGATTAGATCCACGAGTACTGTAGCACCATAGAAATTATTATTTTTTGAAAAGTGGGGTGGGGGAGATTATCCACGTTTGTGCATTGTACAGTTCAGGATATTTATATTCCCAATGATATGATATCCCTAACCACTCCTGGGAGTAGCTCAGGGTGGACTGTTCCTATAGCTACAGTCTCTAAATGTTGTAATGCATCAATAATAATTAAGGTGGGTAGTAAATGTACTGGGTTAATGTATTAGCTTTTTCCATATGGAAACCTAGACATAAATCCTATGTTTAATCACATGAAAAAGACATTTGGGGTTATAACTCCTAGAGGTGTTTACTCACATCAGGAGATTCTCACGTAACTTAACATGATCAGTAGTCTGTCCTCTGGGCAGGATGGGAATGCTTGGGTAGAGCTGCATCCGAGAGGGTGCATCTACATATGCATTTGATCCAGGAGCGGTTCACTTATGAGCAAGCTACTTAAAAGTAAATGCTCCTGGGGCATCTACATGTGCAGGGATGTGGGAGCAGATTTGCTGCTGCTAGCAGCAAACTGCTCCTGCTTCCTGTGGCCCAGCAATGGACCCCTTTTGCTACCGGGGGAGCTGGAGGCTCTGGCTGCAGCTGCCTGTGGCTGGCAGCCATCTACAAAAGGCAGCTCTGCTCTAGGGCTGTGAAAAGTTTCAGGTACTGATTTGATTTGAAGAAGATTCGGCCCGATTTTGGTGGCTGAATCTCCAAATCTGAATCGAATCAGGGG